AATGAAGATCCAAGCACTGTTGCCTTCCAGGGCAGAACTGTCTCTCTTTCAGCACTGCACATGGCTTATGGAGGGGAAAGCCCCCAAGCCCATCAGTGTCCTTCAGCACTGCTATCTCCAGCACTGCTATCTCCAGCACCCCCTGTTCCTGTTTTACCCATCTCCAGTAGTATCAAGAACATGATGCTGCCAGCCTGCATTCCCATTTCCTGATGGGTACATCAGTGGGAAACTGACACATATCAGGTAGGGGTTGGTTCAAGAAAGTGAATGGATTCCTCTTTGGTTATTTCCTTGGGGTTTTCACATCCCTGTAAAAAAAAGAAAGAAAAAAAAATCCACTTTTCATTAAAAGAGTCATTTCAGTCTGATGGTGAAACTGATACTACAGAAATACATATTCCTGTGTGCTGCCTTCCTGCTCTGCAATGGCTCTTAGGGACTGGGGGTGGGGGAGCTGTTGTCCATTTACTTGAGCAAAGATTGCTATTGAATGAAACCTTTAATGGGGTGTTTATGCTCCCACTCAGCTAAGAGCTCCACTTGTGGCAGAGTAGTGTTTCTCTCCACCTTGACAGCTATTAGAGAATCGATACAGGTAATCTCTTGGCTGACTGTCAGCACCCTCCAGCTGTGGGGCTACCCTGGCTACTGCCATGGGCTCACCTGTGAGAAAGCAAAACTCTGGAGAGCAGCCTGCCACCACATCCCCACCACCACTTTGCTGGGTCGGTGCCCCCAGACCACGCAAGGGCAAGAGGGAATTCCACCGACTTCTCCTGGATTAATAAAAGGATGGACTTGACCATTTCTCCCTAAGAAGAAGGGGCTCCACAGATTGATTTCAGTTCAGGGATTACCTGGGAATTGCATTTTTGCCAGTAGAACCCAAGAATTCATCCTTTTCCCCTTCCTTGATAGATAAAGGACATTGTCTCTGCTACTACATTTCTATTAATGGCCAAGGCGTCTCCTACTGGCATTCTCACACTAAGGCATACAACAGTGCTCTCTACTAAATTTCTGGGCTAACCAGAAGTCAGTCCTGTGAATTGAAGCCTTGTTTGTCATTGCTGCAATGCAGCTAAGCAGTGTTTTCCAGAACAATCCCTACAGCAAGAGTTGCTGCAGAATGACCCGCTGGGGATGGAGATGGAGCAGAGCTGCTTGGGTTCTGCTGTAGGAGAGGCAGAGATGCCGTGATACTCTCTTCTGCCCCACATAACCTTCAGCTGCCAACACCCTGCCCCTTGGTGGGACTTGGCTTTTCAGAAAAAGTGGCATTCACTGGTGGACATTAAGCCTTCTTAAAACTTGAGTTAAACACCATAAAAACAGAGCCAGCTGCTGGTCCCACTGAAGATCGTGATGTATTTTACATGAGGTAAGAAAAGAAGGAAAGCAGAGAGCAAATCCCACATCTCCTGATACCCTTCATATGCCCAAGGCCCTTACACTATGTGCATTAGGGAAAGCCAGAAGGGAGAAGATACAATGGGATATGCATGCGTGAGGAAAGAAAGGCAAATTAAAGTGAATGTGTCCATAGAGATGAAACAAACAACAGAGTTTGCTGCAGAGGCATGTAGGAGACTGGGGACCCTGAGAAATGGCTTTCTGAAGGAAGGGACAGCCAGTCAGGGCTTCCCTGGTGAATGATCTCTCTTGTTTAATGGACAGTTGGGCACTAATCAATAGATGTGTTTGTGGCATTATCTTCGACTCACTAAGCTCCTTGCTTTCCCCTCCCCTCAGTGGTTAACCACCTCCCTCTTCCTCGAATCCCCGGGAGTGCATCAGGGACAGGGGTTGGGGTAGCAGTGGGATGGGACCAGGTGTTTGAAGAGCTGGGAGATGCAGGAGATGCACGGAGATGCTGGAGGCAGCAGATGTCAGTGGTCAGGCCTTTTGTTCCCTCCAACTCCCCAGGCTGAGCTCTGGGACCACACTTTTGTTTTTGTCTTGCCATTGTAATTCACCAAGGAGGGGCTTTTCAGGAGTTAGCCTCACAGAGGGTCATCTCTCTCCCCAGCACCGAAATCAAACAGCGACTGCCCTCACCCTCTGGTTTTTGTTTAGACCACTCTCCACATTTAAAAAACCCTGACACAGTTAATGCAAAGAATTCAAAAGTCAGCTAGTGTCTTACAGGACTGGTTTGTCCCAACAGACTTGACTTGCTGCTCCCCTTGGCAGCACCATTTTTCATCCTAGTCAGGGGAAAGAAGAGCCAGGGTGCACAGCCAGGTAGTTTCTATAATCCTTTGCCTTGGGAAATGCAGTGATAATTGAGCCCTCAGCCAGGGAAGCCAAGCTACAGCCAGTTTAAGCCAAACTGAGTAATATGGGTACCTATTGCACTTAGTGTGTTACTACAGTCACTATCATGGAAAATAAATGGCCCATAGTTGATGATACTAAGAAATGCAAGAGGTGGATCTAGTACAGCCTGCAGAAAGCTGCAGGGATAGCCTGCTTTCTGCATCCTCACTCAGAAATGACCAGCAGGACCATTACTGAGTATCATGGTGTCTGCTCAGGAGGAACCTACAGCTGGGTTTTCCTAGCGAAAGGACTGAGCCCTTGCAGTTGACTTGGTCACAAATACTCTCCCTTTAGTGGAACTTGCAGTGCAGGCTCCTTAATGCACATGGCCTCCTGTGCTGTGCAGTCGTCCTGGTAACATGACTGATGGGAAAACGCAGTATGCACACACCCCCTCCTTCTCCTCTATTTTCTGTTTGTGAGTAAATAACTGAAACCCTGCTCCTGGCTGAGCTGCTCATTCATGAGGCTGCTGCCAGCAGTGCCATAGAAGTGCAAGCAAATGTACAAATCCCCGGAGGAAAACCTCCGTTTATGGGCACACTCAGGGTTCATGCACACCACAGGAGCATTCCTCAATCTAAATCTGAACTCTCCTAAACCCTGCCCAGCAAACCCTGACAATCACTGCGTTTTCCTCGCAGGAGACTAAAATCTGCTGCAGGCTGGCAGGGAAGCTCAGCCTGCCCTCCCTCCTGCTTCCTGCTGCTAAATTTCTCCCCACCCTGCTGTGAAGTGTGCTGCTGGCCAAGTACCACCCCCAGGGCCCCTCAGCACAGCTGGGACTTCCTATTCAGAAGGGAGAGGACGGTGCAATAGGGTAGTTAAATGCTACAGGGTAGTTGAATGCCTTTTTTAGTGCTCAATCCGGATCCATCATCTTGCTTGCAAGTGGGAGTGAACTCAATCCAGAGCTGAAAAGCTTCAGCTTCCATGAACTATTGGAACACTTAAGGCCCAATCCATCAAGACACTGGGTGTCTTTGACTTCTAATGCAGTCAGCTGCTACACAGCGGGACAAGGGCTAGAATTCCCGCTAAGAGACAGTTTGACTCTGTAATGACTTACAAATGACTGCATGAAACACCCTTCATCCATTTGCTACTATCTCAAATACACAACTCCAATACATCTGGCAGGAAACAACCTATGCCCCCCCCCCCCCCCCCCCGACATGTGCTATAGCTTCCAATAATGTATGTTCAACTTTTGCATAAAGGTAATTGTAATAATCTTACTTAGCATCAAAATTTATGTATACAGGTTTAATGTGCAAGATAACCAGTACCTTCAATCCCATGTACAAGCGAAACCACACACTCTTTTTTACAGGCAACTCATCAAATACGGAAGAAGGGTACTAATATTCTAGTACAAGATATTTGGAGTTCTTCAAGCAGAAGTAAATGCACTACAGAAGATACACCACTTAAATAACCCTCATTCACAAGAAACAAGGAAATTACCTCCTTGGGAAGCTAACACTGCAATTCATAGTACCTTGAAGCCATTCCTTGTCTTCAATATTTTACTTACAAGTAAGTGGTTCTGTAAATATCTTAATATTTTTTTACCATGAAAACAATGAGGACAGAAAAGTTACAATAAAAACTGCATAAGAGTGCAAATCAATATGTTTATAGATACATTATCTACACAGTACAATTAAACGTGCAGGTAACTTTTTTCCTAGTTCTATGCTGTATTCAAAGAGGTTGTTAAGGTTGGCACAAAATAATTTTTCTCTCTTATGTGCAAAGTCCTTGTTAATCCTAGCAGATCTAGGATATTAAAAGGGAATCTCATCTCAGTAACATCAAACTACCTGTGTTAATCAACTCCAGCAAAGGTTTCCATTATCCCTCCTGGATGACACACAAAGTCCCACTGACACTGGGAGCCCCTTTTGAATGTACAGCCCCCTATGAATTATGCTGGCCACTCAGACTTCTGCACTAATTACAGCACTCTATACTCAGTGATGCTTCCAGGTTTTTGCTAAGCCTCCATGAAGCTGATATTTCACATCGCCAGGGAATGCTATTTTGCTAAAGATTTTTAACAAAGGCCCACATGGGCCCAGAATGCAATACTTCTATGAGGCCACTCAACTGCTTATGACCCACCTGAGCACTCATTGGTGGTTGGGACTATCTTCACATTTGGTCCTCTCAGCTGTGAGAAGGCAAAGCCAACCTGCACTGTCTCTGCTAACTGGCAGCTACTATGCACACCCTGCTCTTCTCCCTCATGGCCAATCGGCATCCTCTGGAAGAGGGTCTCAGTGCCCTGGAGCCCCCAGTGTCCAGGCAGGTGAATGAAGGAATTGAATACCCCTAATGTTGGTGCAGTAGTCAGTATCTTTGAAGCAGTTCACATTTAAATAGAGCAACATTAAAAGACTTGCAGGTTAAGGTGAAGTAGACCCCATACTTGGTCATGCATCCTAACAAAACAGAGGTTAAATTGGCTTTGGGAAATGCACTTGTTAAAATCATCCCTCACACAAGTTTTGGTATGCACTGCACCAGGCAGTCCACAGATGCGGTACATTAGAGACGTGGAAACACTCTTCACAGTGGTATTTGTGCACAAAAGGTTCATGAGAGGTGAAATTCCTCCTATCTGTGTTTCCCTGTTGAGAAAATTAGTGTATGGGAGGAGAGAAGGGGAAGGTAGGGTAGCACATCTTGGACTTTACCCCAGTCCAGGGTGGCATCAATGTACCCAGGTGAGAAACTATGCCCAGGGTCCAGAGGACTGGACGTACCCAAAGAGTCACTGTGAGGGTATATGTCACCTCCTGCGATGTGCACAAAACTATGAACAAACACATAGACAGATACACACATAAGCTGGACCAAGACATGTCCACAGGGTTCTTGATTAATAAGCATCATGCATCTTCAGGTGGACTTTGTAATCCTCCTGCTCCAGGAAGTGCTCTCCACACACAGAGCAAGTGCTCTCCTTCCTGTGCATGCGCTTCACATGGCTGTCGTGGGCTGCGTGTGAGGCAAAGACTTTGCCGCAGTACTTGCACTTGAAGGGCTTCTCTCCTGAGTGCTGGCGGATGTGAGTGCGCAGGATGCTGGATGCTGTGAAAGCCTGAAAAGGTAAGGAGTTGAAAGTAATCCATTTTCACATACATATTTCCCACACTCAGCTAATACAGGCCCATCAGAAGCACTGTACTCTAAAATTAAGTCCTCAAATAATATTCTCAGATAACTTAAGGGAAAAAACTAAACCTCACAGCAACAAGGAACCAGAAGCCAACAGGTATTGCTATATAAATGTCGCTGAGTCCATGGAATTAGATGAATCTCAGAGAAAGATTTCTGACCAGACGCACCAATAAGTATCTTCTACATGTCAAGGGGTAAGAAGTCAATACTGTCCTAATTAGCTCTGCAGCTCCTTTATGTTTCGGAAACATAATGCAGCTTTTCCTTCCAGTTTTTATTTTGAAAGTCAGATTCGTATTTACATACTCTGGCACCTGGGGATTCAGGTGCCAGAATTCATTCAAGCAATTCAGCATCCATCTTTTGAGGTTTCATTTTCCCCACTCCGTCATACTCCAGCCTGGCTCCCCACACACACCTGAGGAGCAAAGTGTGCACAACCACACTCTGTTCCCCTTGTAAAGGCTCATTCTCTATCTGGGGAGAAAACCCTGTCGCGAAGACTGGAGCAGGAATGCTGCAAAGTTTTGAATGTTTCCCCCCTTTTTTCCCCAAAGAGAGACACTTTCAGGCCCCTCACTATTTGCAGACCACACAAAATAAATTCTCTTTAGTACCATTATGTTGCTGAACCATCACAAGTTTTCACAGCGTAGAGCAATACATATCAGATACCGTTTCACTAAGAACCTTAGAACTCAAACAGATCTGTGATTCCTATATAAAAATCCATGAAGGTGTATATTGAGAGGGCCAAAATGTGCTTAAGGGCCAGAATGGTGATATTTGCTTCAGACTTTTGCTTTAATCACAATGTCACCCAGATAATGAGTCCAGGAAAGCAAAGCAGTGCTGGAGTACAGCCATCATTAGAGGTAAAAGAGGCAAAGAGGAATCATGACTGCAATAGGAGGCACAGATGAGGATGCTTTAAAATAGCGCCTTGCTTTCCAGTCACAGAAATGATGGCTATGTCCCAGGATGCTCTGTGTTAGTCCAGACAGTCATTAACAAAACTTCTCTTTCTCCGAGATCAGGAGGACCTTGCTACATGACAACAATGCTTCTGCATTGCATAGACACTCCCATAGCACCTGGAGCCCTATCTATTTTCACCCAGAAGCAGCATGTATGTTCATCCACCTTCTGTCTGCTGGGAAAGCTGTCACTGCTCTCACTGGAACAGCTCATCTGAATCATCCCTACTGTTAGCATCACAGATAGGTACATTTTTGATCAGTGCTGTATGACTTTACACATGTTCTTTCTTAATGAAACCTCCCTGTACAGTTGCACATCAATGGCCCTGTTACTTCAAGCATACACAGAGTTGTATTACACAGGTTCAGCTTATGAGGCAAATCTATTCACTGCACTCCAGAAACAATGCCAGTAATAACAAAACCTACCTATCTGATGAAAAAGGGGAATATTGCATCTATCTGTATGCCTTGGATGGCAATTGAAATGCTCTCAAGCTTTCCTAGATCCTTTCCCACAGCAATTCTCTCAGCTAGAATGAAACACAAATTCTACAACAGAAGGAGACCAAAACATGTTTCTTCATTCTGAGCCAGCCCTGTCAGTTGAACTCACAACTGTGCCCAGAATATAGTCAACTTATCTGGTTATCAACTTAAATAGAAGACATTTTCTTGAAAGAAAACAGAAAATAAGCAGAAAAATCCTGTAAAAAATTAACTTGACCATGGAAAGAGTCACCTCCCTGCAGGTCCAGTGTGTTGCTAAGCATGGCAGAGGACAGAGGGATGAAGCAGAGCACAGACGGGGCTTTGCCTTACCTTGTTGCAGTACACACATTTGTAGGGGCGTTCCCCAGAGTGAACCCTCAGGTGTTTGCTCAGGCTGGAGGACTGAGAAAAGTTCTTTCCACACACTGAGCACTGGGAAAGAAAAAATGGATAATGTTAAAAGGAAACACAAAACAGCATAGTTCAAAAGAAAAAATAGCTATGCAGAGTATGCGCATGTATTTTCCTATATATTTTTATATATATTTATCTATATAGATATAGCCATGTATTTGTGTATATACACACACACGTAATATTTAAGCAGTAACAATTTCAAATACAGTCAGAATTTTTATCTGGTTCTAAGAACTTAAAAAAAAAAAAGAAAGAAAAATCATGCAAAATGTCAAAGCTTTTTTGTGTTATTAAAATGGTTTCATTTAAAATCGTGCTTCAGAACACAGGCAATACTGACCTTCAGTAAACAAAATCAAACATTTCTGTAAAATCACTTTCTTCAGAATGTAAATCAAGCTCCAGCTGTTAATTTTAATTTTAAACTGAAAATATTAAAGTAATCTTATAATAAATCTTAAAACAAAAAATAAATCTTAAAACAATACCATTCATTTTTCAGAAATGGGGAGTTGGTCACACTTAAGCCTACAGCTTGACATGTCAGAAGTGCCTCTTGGCAGGAGTGAAACAAGTAGCATCCTCGAGATGCTGCCCGGCAGCCAGCAGGACAAAACCAATTCCCAAGAGTCACTTGAGAGACTTGAACTGATTCAGTGCAATTTATAAGAGCCCCAAACCAATTTCTCCCTACAATAACTGGAAAGAAATTATCTTTCAGAAGTTTAAAGTAAACTAAGCTATGACTGATCTTGAAAGAAGGTGTTTATTTTTTACTGACACATTTTCCATCTTTGCTTTTTGAGTAGATCATTCTCATATGAATGTGATATATTCAGAGTAAGTTTTATCTTACTGCCATTCTAAAGTATTTATTACATACGCATTTCAAAACAAATGCCCTAGGAAATGAAATTAATAAGAATTAGATGGTATTCAATGCCTCATATTTAATAGAATATTTTTCACCTGTAACTAAATTAATCTGATGTTCCAACATTGTAATATTGTTGATTTAGTTGAAAAAGATTTCCCCTGAAAAATTTACACTATTGCAAGATCATCTATAAAATAGGTATTTTGAGGATTTTTTCAGGCCCAATATAACTGTGCCGTTTCAAGCACTGGAACTTAATGTTCCCAAGCCTTCAGGAAGTCTGGTTTTCCACTCCCAGTGATCATAGAGAAAACTGATGCCATAGAGAGGTGTTTGGTGAGGAAAGTATCTCAGCAATTATTTTTTTCCATAAATTGAAATCTGCTCTCCATTGACTGTAAACCTTTTAGCTCCTGTTTTGTTTAACAGACACAGATGTCTGTTGGTTCTCAGGCTGAACAGAGAGAATATGGGTAAGAGACATCATCTCCTCAGATCCAGGACAAGTGGAGTACCTTCAAACAGGAGTTAACAACACACCATGTCAGAAAAGTAGCAAAACTCAAGACGCAAACATCCAAAGAGCTCAGAAGAAATAGTTTCTTTTCAAGGAGAAATAGTTTCTTTTCAAGGTCTCGCTGAGACTGTGGGGTTTATTTTTCCAATGTAAATCCATTACATTTCTTTAACTAAGTTCTGCTGCACAAGACAAACTCCTCCTGTACAGGCAAAGCGGTCCTTCCAGAGAGCTGCCAGGGCAACTGGAGGAGGGAGAACACCATCAGCATCCTACCCTCAGCCAAAAGACTCCCTAATTAGTCCCCCCAGAAGAGCCAGTACCTATGGAGTGACCCTGGGGCAGGCTCACCTTGTGAGGTCGGTGTCTTTCATGAACATGTAGAACATGGATTCTCAGCCTGTCTCTTTTTTCAAAGGATCGGTTGCAGAGGTTACAAGGAAATTTGCGGTCCCCCTGGTCCACACAGCGGGTGTACTTGAGGTGCTTGTCCCGGTAGTACTCGTAGGCAAAAACCTTGCCGCAGCGGTCGCACTTAAAGCTTTCCCCGGCTTCTGTACAGGAGAAGGGAAAGGGCCACGTCTCCGTTACATCGCAGTACCAGGGGCTCCTTTCAAACCTGCTGCATTCCCAGAGCTGGTATCGAGTTGGGAATTATAAGTCCCAACTTAAAATTCCCAACTTATTGGGAGGACGTTAAAGGTAAATGGATTCTGGCAAAACCATTAACAAAATACCCATCGGTTCTCACTGCTTCACTTGCCTATTACCTTTCTAAGGGGGGGGTAAACTGCAGCCCATAGCCTGGTAAAATCACTGGGTTTAGCTACCGACTACAGCAAGGACGGGCTTATCCTTGATTCTCCCTAAACAGGGAGAGAATGTGAAAAAACACCTCAAAGTCGCATGCAAAAGTATCTCCCCACACAGAAACACTGACAGGTACCTCATACTAACACTGTCCGTAAATTTTTGGTCCTGGCCCCAAAAGAAAAATAAACTTGCACGGTTTTTCTAGATAGTTTTAAACATGCTGTTGGACAAAACCACATTTATTTGGTTTTCTTTTGTATCTAACACTGCTCTCAACCACTGAATTTGGAACAACAGTGACAGGATATTTTTCAAACGCTTACGCATCCTTTTCTGCTGTTAACAAAAGCAACTTTGGCTTAAGCCTTAAAATCAAACTAACGATTTACCTAAACCAGGCACCTGAAGACAACATTGCCAAATTCCCGTGCCAGTCTAGTTCTCTCCCTCACTGTGGCACCTCTCCCGCTCCAGCCTGCCCTGCGCTGGCATACACCCGTTTTCCCTGTACATAAGCTTTGCTTATAAGAAGGGCATTTATTTTCTGCGCATTATAAACAGTTATTCCGGGAATAAGCGTGTTTGACATTTGATCTGCGAGCCATACCGGCATTATTGGATTTCAACGACTTCTGTCTGCCACGTTTACTGAGTGTTAATTGCACGAAAAATATAATAAAAGCAGACATGTGCGATCATAAGATAAAAGCAGGACCAAAACCGGAATGCCGCTCAAAAGTCCCTCTCGTCTCAAAACGCGTGCCCCCTTCCCTTATGCAGAACAGAGGGGAGGCCAGGCCCGCACCAGCAGATGTTTTACAGCCGTCGGGGGAACAATTTCAGCTCCCCGCGGAAACGCGAACGAGGAGAATTTTGCACCGAGCAGGCAGAAGCCCTCGGTGCGGTCCCCAGTGCCGAGGGGAAGCTGCTGCTCTGGGATACTGGGGTTGCAGGGAAGAGAAGGGGCAGACAGGGCCGGGCAGCCTGCCACTGGCTCACCGCAAGGACTGGGGAGCATTCGAAGTAAAACATAGATGGAAAAAGGTGGTGCATGAGTTTCTTTACCTCCCTTCGTGCGAACCTAACCCCGGCCAAACGCAGGACCATGGGCATGAGGTGCTGGCAGGCTCACCTTCGGGGTCCTCCGGGTGCTTCCTCCTGTCCTCCCCGTACTTCAGGCTGACCGGGATGCCCAGGAACTGCACGTAGCAATCTCCATACCACACCAGCAGCTCCTGCTTCGGGAAGATTTCCTTGCAGCTCTCGTAGAATATTTGCCCGTCGCACTGGATAGCTGCCAAGTTCTGCTCCTCCGGGTACCTGGCACAGTTCACCAGAGACATCCAGTTGCCAAAGGCACCTCTCCCGTCTATGAAGTGGCTCAGGCGATCGCATTCAAAGATCTGGAGAGCAAGGAGAAACCGATCAAGTTTGACCGATCCTTCCTTCCCGCCGCACATGTCCTCCCGCTCGCACCGATCCACCCCCCGCACCGGGCCGAGCCCCTCTCGCAGGCTAAGGGAGTGGGGCGGCCGAGCCCAGAGGTGCCTCCACTACCTCCCACATCAGCGAGTTGTCGTCGTAAACCTTGATCTCGCTGACGCTGACCACTTTGCCTGGGAAAGGGCCGAAGCGGACTCCTTTGGGGATGGGGTGTATGCAGAAGACTCCGACCTGAGACATGTCCCCGTACTCCACCCGCAGCACTGAGAGCCCTGCGGGGAACAGGGCTGGCTGAGCTCGGCTTGGCCCCTGCTGGGTGCGGAGTGGGGCGCAGGCAGCGCCGGGCCCCTACCTTCCGGCATCTGCAGCGAGTCCCTGTTGAGCAGCGGGGCGTAGGAGAACTGCGCAGCACCTGCAGAGAAGGAGTCCGCAGCACCTGCAGAAGAGGGATCCCTTCTTCAGCCGGCAGTGCAGGCGCAGCGGGGCAGGGGGAGCGGGTCCTGCTGGGCCCGACGGCGGCCGAAGCCCGAATCACTCCCGGTTTTTCCCGGCGTGGGGTCGTAATGCAAGAAAACTACGGGGAAAGGAAGCCCGACGTGCCCTCGGCGATGTCCGGTGGGCATGGCTCCGGCGGGACCACCCGCACCCCACTTTGGGGACTGTCCCCAGACCCCACCGTACACCCGGCAGCAAGGAACGACCTTCTGCCCTAGTGCTCCTCGATGGCACTCCTGCGCAGGCAGCCCCTTGCGCACAAGCCGAAGACCCCCTTACCCGTGCTGGCGGGGGGCAGCCTGGGCCCCGAGATAGCGTGGATGCTCCCGGCCAGCTGACTGCTCCAGAGCGCCCCGTACAGCACCGCGTTGAGCTCCTCCTCGGTGAAGTGGTACCTGTGGCTCTGTCCCGCCGGCACTCCGGCCTCCGGACTGCGGGCAGCCTTGTGCGGGGGGCTCAAGTAGAGCGGTGGCGGCGAGCGAGGGGCCCCTGCCCCGACGAGCGAGTCTTCCTTGGGAGAGAAGGGGTCCTGCGGGTTGGCGTAGTGGGGCAAAGGGAGGCGGGGAAAGGGCTCTGCGGGCAGAGGGAGCCGCTGGCTCAGGAAAGCGGGGGCCCTGGTGAAGCTGTACTGGGGCAAAGGCGGGGAGGCGGGGAGCCTCCCGCCCAGGGATTTTAGAGGCTGGAAGAAGTCGGGGGCCTTTTCGAAGTACTGGGCGAGAGGGTGGAAAGAGGGGTAGCAGGCAGTCCCGAGCGCGTCCCTGTAGTCTCCGGGGACAGACTCGCCGGCCAGGTTCAGAGCCATGTCGGGGTGGGGCGGGAAAGGAAGAAGGTAGGGAGCGAGCTGTCGGGAAGCGGAGAGGCAGACACCCGGGGGTGTCTGGGGGTGCCGCTGCGGGGTGGGATAGAGGCGCAGGAGCAGCCGATCGTTACTGCCCGCCGCCCGGCGCCGTCGGGGCGAGCGGTCGGCCCCCGCGGCTATATGCGCCTGGGAGGGGAGGGAGAATAAGGGGGGGGGGCAGGCGCAGACGGCCCGCCCCGGGGTCGCGCAGCCCTGGAGTGGACGAGGGGGGCTGCCCAGACCGGAGGCCCTTACTCAGGGGCGGAGTCGCGGCTTTTGCCGGAGCGGCCTGGCCGCTCCTCTCTACGTCGAGGCCGGCGGTGTCGGAGGGACAGGGGGGACCTGGACCCACCTCCCCTGCCGCCTGCTCTGCCTCCTGCCTCTCCAAGCCCAACCGCTGGGCCCGGCCGGAGCGCCGGTGGCTCTGCCGCTCCCCAGAGCAGGAGGCCGTGTGCCGGAACGATGTTCTCTACGGGTAAACACCTACAGCCATGGATGAGCACCAGGCCCGGGGGCTATCGTGCTCCCCAACCGGACCCACGGCTCCCGCGCACTGTCTCGGGGGTTCCAGGCATAGGGTTTGGATACAGAGAATCAAAACTCATCTCCAAAATCCCAAAGACACAGCAGCACACCCTCAGCCACTGTAGGTTTCACAGGCATTGCTGAGGTGATTTTAATTTACCTTGGCTGCCTGTTGGGTGCCTGGCAGAACACTGGGCTGTTGCTGAGGTTTCCCTGGCTCCACGACCAGGCCTATGCCAGGACCTGCTCAGAATGGGACCAGAGGAAGACATCTGGCCCTTGCCCCCTGCAGAGGTGCTGGGTGATCCCCTTCTGCAGGGTTTCATCCTAGGTTTCGTGGGGTTTCTCCTTCTAATCTCACCTTCCTCCCACATGGCTACATGCTACAGTTGCTATAACAAGGGGACCTGGAAGGGAAGGCAGGATTCCAGGGGCCCAGGTGTGCACCTTGTCATTGGAGGATGTCATCCTTGCTGGTGCAAGGAGATGGAGAAATCTTGAGTCCAGGGCAAAACCCCATGGAGGGTGGGTTACTGCAGAGGCCCTGCCTGGGTGACACTGAACATGCAGGCATGGAGAAAGGGCCAGGATGGGTTGTGCTGCACTGTAGAGAGCTTGGGGACTTGCACTCGTAGGTCCCTCTAGGACTAAAGCAGTGTATGACTTCCTTGGGCACAGCACAGCACAAGACAAACTGCACCAGACACAGCTGGAGAGGGGAACACAGCCAGACCCGACTCCTGGAGGTTTAGATGCCGTTAGAGTGATTATGGTTTAACCTTAGCAGCAGCTGAGCCCACACAGCCACTTACTCATTGCCCCTGCATTGAGATGAGGGAGAAAATTAAAGAGTAAAAGTGAGATTGAGATAAAGACAACTTAATAGGTAAAGCAAAAGTAATGTGTGCAAACAAAGAAAACAAGGAATTCACTCACCACTTCCCATCACAGGCATGTGTTCAGCAATCTCCAGGAAAGCAGGACTCTATCACATGTAATGGTTACTTGGGAATACAAAACCCATCACTCTGAATGTTTCCCTGCTTTCTTATTCTTCCCCTAGCTTTATAAACGTGCCCCCCCTTTTTCTTCTTCCCTCAGCTTTACATGCTGTGCACAATATCATCTGGTATGGAATACCCCTGTAGCCAGTTGGGGTCAGCTGCCCCAGCTGTGTCCCCTCCCAACTCCTTGCGCACACCCAGCCTACTCACTGGTGGGGTGGTGTAAGGAGCAGAAAAGGCCTCGACTCTGTGCAAGCACTGAATTATCAACAGCGTTTTCAGCACAAATGCAAACCCTAGCCCCAGACCAGTTACCTAACTCTACCTCAGCCAAAGCAGCACAGGTGTGCTATAAAAATTTATTCACATAGCTTCGCAGGATCCTCTGTAAGACGTTGCCTTTATCCCAAAGAATGGGTGTATTGGGAATCACTTGAAGGAATCACTTGATCAGGAATTAGGAATCACTTGAATCTCAGACAGAGACTGCGGCTCCAGACTGCACTTGACCAGAGGTGAAGCCTTCCCGCAGTCCTTCTTTCTTATCTGGCCTGAGTGATGTGCTCTGAAACAGAGTTTAAGAATCAGTGGCTGCCCTCAGGGAATGAGGGTGTTCAGAGCACAGTACCTCAAGCATTGTAATTCCTCCTACCAAAAGCTTCGACTTAGAACTTCCCCTTTTTTTTTAATCAGGACATAAACACTCAGGCAGCAACACAAACACACAAACACTACTGAGGGGGAACGCAGAATTCATTCAGGCTCTCCTATCTCCAAAGACCCCTTCTACAGTCAGCCTAGGACAGCTGTGTCCCCAAACCTTTGCACATTTGTGTACTTTGCATGAAATGTACTGGTCTAATTCTCCTGCCTACAAACTCATTCCCCATCTTAGCCCAAGGCAAAAGTACAGACTACACCACAGACAGCCAATACACACAAGGCTCAGGGAGAAGGCAGCAATACAGCCTTCTGAAACTTGATTGAGATAGTCCCTTGGCTTCATTTTTTTTTTTTTTTTTTGTTATCTGTTTAATTTTTTACTTCCTCTGTGTTGTTCCAAACCTGTTACTTGCAAGGCAGAATTGATGCTCTATTGCTTTAGTAAACAGTTTCAGGCAGGCAGTTTAGTATGGCTTTAGTGGTGCAGCATCACTAGCATAAAAGTAGTACCAGCATTAATCAGGTTTACAGGAAGAAGCCTTTGAGCTCTGATTGCACAGCAAAGTTTGAATTACCCTTAGAAATCAAGTTTTGCAGGTAATCTGGAATCCTTTGGCTACCCCATGTCCAGATGTCACAGCACAGGATGAGGAAAAGCAGCTTGTGAAGGAAACATGCTCGTGTTTGATTTAAAGAAATTACTCCACAGTGTCTACTGTAAAGTAAAGCACAGACCGTTATTGGTGCTGGGAGCACATGGGGGTTCAAACCTCCATACACGTGTCCAAAAACCAGTAAATCTTAGGGGTTCTTTCATACCTACTTTTCATCTTGTTATAATCTAAAGCATACATTCATACAATTTGGTAAGTTACATAACTTGTGGTTTCCTTGTCCTATTGTGCATTTGGTTAGGGCTAAAATGATAGTCTATAGATTAGTATTAATCAGGATTCTTAACAGCTGTTTACCTTTTAGCTTAGTGTTATTGATTAACTGCTAATACCTGTGAGCTACGTGCTTGGTTCTTCCTTCAGATTATTATATTTTGCCATTAGGGATGTCCCTGCTTATGAGCAGCTGCAAGCAGATGAAAGTCTGCCTATGTACCTGAGTTCTAATTTATTGTATATGAGGCCCTAGCAGGAGGGCAGGGCCTTACTTGCAGATGGCTTTCTATTAAGCATGTGCAGTAGTGTTTTTAACGCTGAGTCATACTCATGCTAAATAGCAAAGTTATGTCAACTAAGGCCTAATGACTTGGTCTTAATTGGAGATTCAGAAGAGATGAAGACAAACAAATACAAGGTGAGATTTTTTTAATTCTCCCCATTAGTTAAGTTGAAGACATGCCCCAAAATTAAAACACTCTTTTTTAGAAGCCTGATAACACATAGTCCAGGATAAGAGAAGGGCTTCAGGCACTGTTGCCTCTGTATTACAGTAATCTTTAGAGGCTTTCATCCCCTAAGAGGTTAAAGGCATTTATTGCACTAACAAATCCCCATCCTCGGGGAGAGATGTGGGGTGGGAGGAGCAGAAGGACAGCTGTGCAGAGCTGCCCCCAGCAGACAGGCCAGCCGCAGCCACAGGGATGCTCCTGCTTTTTCTTGTGAATGACTGGGAATTCATCTGCCAAAACAAGCCAGGGGTTGGTTTTGCTCTGTGTGACAGGGGAGCAGCACTATAAAAATTAAAATCAGCTCAGAGGTGCTAGCCCTTATGTGTTTTCAGCCTGGCCAGGGACAGCCTACCTCTCCTGCCTGTGGATAAAAGGGGCAAGCAGAAATGCAGATTCACTTTGAGGAGAAATCTCTGGCTCACACACGCTCTACTTGATCTATTTGTTCCCCCTCCCTGGAAGTCTCTCAGACTTCTGGTTTGGGATTCTGTTTTTCTTTCATGGCCTCCTCACACCAATCAAGAAATGCATCCCACTAAAATTGGAGCACCGTAGGTCCTCTGGACTCACAGTATCACAGTATCACAGTATGTTAGAGATTGGAAGGGACCTCAAAAGATTATCTAGTCCAATCCCCCTGCCGGAGCAGGAACACCTAGATAAGGTTACACAGGAACGTGTCCAGGCGGGTTTTGAATGTCTCCAGAGAAGGAGACTCCACAACCTCCCTGGGCAGCCTGTTCCAGTGTTCCGTCACCCTCACTGATGACTCCATGGCATTCCTTAAGCTTAATGCCTTCAATACAGTCAACCATGTTTTCTTTCTTGGTCATAACATCTGGCATGAGCCCACCATGCTGGCCAAAGTCAGGGTCATTAGCAGCAGTAACAAAGAAGGCTCAGACTGGGACCAAAGACAGAGAAGGGTTAATGGGGTCTGCCATACCACCCAAGTCTTTAACTGCTGAGGTTATTTCTTTCACAGCTGAGACATGTCCCAAGAGTCTGTCCTTAAGTGGCACAGACCTCAATGCCCAGCTCTGAAGGACCACCATTCGTACAGATTCATTTGCACTGTAATTCCAACCTGGACCTTTCCTGACTTAACTCTCCTAGGGACTTTATCAATCTGTGATTATTCTTCCCTCTTTTAGCTGGCTAGAGTGGGAATTCTCAGTGGGACTCTGGACTGATCTGTAACAGAAGCTGTGATTTAGCAGCTCCTGCACACTGCAGGAGCCAAAAAACCCTTGGCTGAAGCCCCAGCAAGGAATTTCTAAAAGGTAAGGAAGCAAAGTCACCTATACCTGTATACCTGTCACATCTACAAGGTCACAGGAATGCTCAGGGCTGCTTTAGGTTCTTCTTTC